CCTCCAGAGAAAAGTATCCGCAGCGAGGGGCTCCAGGCCGGCCCTGTGAGACGCTGGCTGCTCATCCATCCAGGGGCTGCTTGGAAAATGCCCTGTCGTGCACAACACTGTCTTGGTCACCTGGTCCCATGCCCAACATAAACAAATAGCCAATACATATTGGCTAAGTAAATGATCTGCTTCCAGCCGGTAATCCTCCCCCTGCTTTTAGTTGATTCCATTTCTCTTTATGACCAACATAAAAATCAATCATGGTGACTGATGTTTTGAAAGGAAGGAAGTGAATGGTTTACTCAAGCGCCATCCCTGGGAAAGCTGCCGGACAAATACAAATGTTTTCCTAAGTAGCCCACGGAGTGTAGATGATTGTTTTCTAATGAAGGATCCATCCTGTGTCAGCTCCGGGCTGCTCAAAGGAAAAACACCCAAGATGCAGACCTTATTCCCAGTTAGTGAGACCTCAAAAGGAGAATCTCGAGAGTGGACTTCCTTTATTTAAATAATACAAGTGTTCTAGAAAAAAATCATCATAAGATACTGAAAAAACTGGGCTGGCCAGATAGCTGAGCAGACTAAAGCACCTGCTTAGGCAGATGCAGGGACCGGGGTTCGATCCCTGGTGTGCCATGCTGGTCCCACCCTAGGGCACACTGAGCCTGCAGCTGACACTGGGCATGGTGGTGCGCGCCTGTAATCCCAGAGCTTGGGAGGCTGAAAACAGGAGGATCATTATATATAGAGACTTACATGGCTCAAAGTAATTCCATTGTTGTGCATACTTAAGCCGAGCACAGAACAACCTCTGAACACAGCTGTTTGCCTGTGCAGAAGTAGCCGCTACCGAGTGGCACATCAAAGCCCGGCTTCCTCTACACACTGCACCTCCTCGTGCTAGAAACCAAGTATTCATCATCAACTCTTCGGGCACTGCCTTCTTTTAAATGAAGAGCTGGGACTGGGGAGATAGCTCAGTGGTCTAAACTCCTGCCTGGCAAGTGCAAGGACCCAGGTTCGATTCCTGGTACCTCATGCCATGCCAGTCCCAGAACCCCTGGGTGCACCATGCTGGCCACAGAAACTGAGCATGGTGCACAACTATAATCCCAGAGCTGGGGAGGCTGAGACAGGAGGATCACTATGAGTCTGAGCTTCTGAGCTGTGTAGCAAGACCCTATACCTAAAAAAATAAAAATTTTTAAAAAGAAGTACTTGGGGCATAACTCTGTTGTACAGTGCCTCCCTGGCAAGTGTGAGGTCCCAAGTTCAATTCCTGGTACAAAAAGTAAAATAAAATAAGAAAAATGCTGGTGTTAACTAACCAGTAAATGCATATTCACCAGAGAGAAAATACAGATAAAAGCAAGAAATTAGCTGGCCCTGCCCCCAGGGTGCACTGAGACAGCAATTGAGACGGGGTGTGGTGACCCACACCTGTAATCCCAGCTCTTAGGAGGCTGTAAACAGGAGGATCACTGCAAGTCTGATTGAGTAGTGAGACTATATATCTATATATCTATATCTATATCTATATCTATATCTATATATATATATTTTTTTTTTAAAGAGAAATTAACTCTCAGCCCCACTTGCTAGAAAGCACTACCGTTACCACGTTGCTGGATGTTTCTTCAGGATTTTTTTTCCTCTGTGAGATTTTAGGTATTAAAATACCTAAAATTTTAGGCTACTTTTTCGCTTCTGTATATCGTCATTGTGCACCAATAAATCTTCTACAACACGGATGATTAAATAACCACTCTGTACAAGTCAGCTCTTTTCAACAGATGGAAGGAGCAGAATAAACTGGAACAGGGAAGCGGGTGACAGCAGACATAGGAAGGCAGATTTAGGAGGAAGAATCAGCAGGTCTCGGCCAGCACACCCTAGCACTCTGGAGGTTGAGACAGGAGGGTTGCAAGTTCGAGCCCAGCTTGGGCAACTGAGCTCAAACTTTTCTCAAGATCAGATCAGAAGAAAAGGGCTGGGGATGCAGCTCAGTGTGAGGGAGCCTGAGTCCAAACCTTGGTGCCACCAAAGCAGAAGCAAAAGCAACAAGCCGTGTCCATGGTTTGGGAAACGAAAACAGAGAAATCGGAACAAGCCCCAGGATTCGGCCCTGCGGGCCTGCGCCCCCAAGACAAAGAGAAGGACTTCAGGGGAATGAAATGGAAGCTAATGAGGTCAGCTGCGGACACCGCAGCAGTTAGAAGTCTTGTTTTATAAAAGATTTTATGAGTGCCTGATTGTAGTACAGGACAAGGCCACGTGCCGTGGGGAGCCTGGGGACAGAAAGCGTCTTAGTTCTTTTTCATCCTTTCTCCATCTCTTGATCCCTTTCTCTTTTGAGAAAGATCCATCCCTTGATTCTTTTCTCTTGGGTTTGGTTTGTGGGCTTCTTTTTATTTTTTGAGACAAGGTCTCACTATGTCGCTCGGGCTGCCTTTAACTCACTATGTAGCCCTGGCTGGCCTCAAACTCACAGCGATCCTCCTGCCTCAGCCTCCCAAGCGCTGGGATTACAGTTGGGCACCGGCATGACAGGTCCCCTACTTCCTATTTTCTGTCTTCTATTTTTCTCTTTATTAATACTTTGGGTTCCTCCTATAAGAGAAACCCTGCTGTAGTTAAGCTTGTGTGTTTGACACATTTCACCCAGCATTCCAGTCTCAAGATGCCTCCGTTCTCCATGTGACAGCGGCTTATTCTCCCCACAAAATAAAATGCCCAGAGCCAGGGGATTCCAGACCTGGCACAGGGGCCGACAGTGGCAGGACGGACCCACACTCTTCCCTCCTCTCTACCAGCACAGAGCAGCCTTAGGAAGGGCCGTCAGAGGCCTCCTCCTTACATCTGTGGCCCACGCGGTATCCTCCATCACCCTCGACCAACGCTGGCTGCGCAGGCCGGCTCACGGACTGCGGCTCCCTGTGGCCGGCTTCTCCCGCCACAGAGCGCGGAGGGCGGCTGCGGAGCAGGCATCCAGGGGCTGCCCGGCCTGCCAGCCAAGGCATCACGAGACAAACCAACGTGCTGTCGGGCCCTTGCTGGAAATTCACCCACCGCAGTCTCATTGCTGAGGCACAATATCCGACACCCACAATTTAAACAAAGGACGATTTATTTGGGCTCACATTTGTAAAGTTTTCTGTCCGCAGGGAGCCGGCCCCGAGGCAGGGCGGCACAGGAAAGGACGAGGGCAGAGGAGAGCTGTTCATGGCCCTGGAGACAGGAAGCAGAGAGCAAGATCACGGCGGAGGAGGGCTATGGGCCTTCCCGGCCACGCCCCAGTGGCCCGGCTCCTCCCACCAACCCCACATTTATCTACAAAAGCATCAGTGGGGCTGGGGAGATAGCTTGGCGATGTAAGTGTCTGCCTGGCAAGCACATGGACCGGGGTTCGATCCCCGGTGCCGCACGCATGCTGAACCTGTGCCGTGCCAGCCACCGAAACCGGGCATGGTGATACACACCTGTAATCCCAGCGCTGGGGAGGCTGAGACAGGAGGATCACTACAAGTCCAATCTGCGTAGTGAGACCTTGTACCAAATATATAAATATTTAAAAAAAAGCATCAGTGGACAAACACAGTGATGAGCCTGGCAGCCACAAACCCATCAGGCGCAGCGCTCTACCTGTGCTCCCATGAGGCTTGGGGAAGGGGCAGACACCATACAAGCACCTGAGCACAAGGGTAGGAGTCATGCGTGCACAGGAGAAGCTGGGAACAAGGGGCACGATTGTCACTGCCTAGAGGAACACAAGAAGGAGCGACAACGAAGATGACAGAGGCGGAAGCTGCGCAAGCTGGAGCACGGGCTACAGGGAGGAGAGAAACCAGGAGGGATTTTCATCGTGAGAACCAGTGGAGCGGGAGGTTTTTAAATTTGGGAGAAAAAGTGCTCAGTAAAGTCAAATGCGGCAGAAAAACGAAATAAGACAACGAGAACAGCGCCCCCTGGATGGACTGGAGCAAGCTGGGCAGGAGCGAAGGCGGAGGAGAGGGGACTGCACAGAGGACAGGACGCCAGGCGGCCGGGGTGGGCATCCTGGAGACGCAGCAGGCCCAAGAAGAGACCCAGGCGGCTGAGGGGACACAGCAGCTGCTTCCGTCTCAGGGGACAGCGAAGCGCTGTGCAAGAAAGGGCGCCCCTGGGCGCCGGGGACATAGCTCAGCGGAACAGCATGTCCAAATAGAGGGAATGGCTTGCTGTCATAAGGCCTTGCTTAGGACCTGAAAACATTTTTTTAAATGTATTTAGAACCGGGTCTACAGGGTCTCACTACACAGAGCAATTCCTAATGGCTCTCCCTTTTTCAACCTCCCAAACCCTGGGATAACAGGCACGCCCCACCACGCCCAGTCTCAATCAACGTCTCAGCTCGCCCAGGGGGTGGGGCTGGCACAGCATGTGGTTTCAGGGATCGAAAAAAACAGGGATCGAACCCTGGTCCCTGCATCTGCCTCAGCAGGTGCTTTAATCCGCTGAGCTATCTGTCCAGCCCTGTAAACATCTTTACAGAACATCTTCACTGTTCATTCTCTGCCATCGCTGACCTCTTGCCATACCCCAGGACCAAGCTAAGCCGAGAGAGAGAGAGAGAGAGAGAGAGAGAGAGAGAGAGAGAGAGAGAGAGAGAGAGATCCCCACCCACTGCCTCTACAGTGCCTAGCTCCAGAAATGTGTGTTGCAAGCCGCAGGCCAAGCGAGCCTGGTGCCCGCCGAGGAGCGGTGCGTCCCAGGCGTTGAGACCTCGCTATCGTGGTTTCCGCGTCCAGGGGCCTCGGACTCTGCATTTCCCATGACTTGCCAGGAAACGCCGCTGGTGGCACACGCCCTGAGGCGCCACTTGGAGTCCCGGAGCTGAAATCTAGCCACCAAGACTCTGCTTTCCCTTTCCTGCGCTCACAGTCTTCTCAGGCATGAGACCCTTCTGGTCCTTTCTTGCTAACCTTGCTACCTATTTATTCATTTTTAAAATTCATTCTTTTATTTATTTATTTTTAAAGGAGTGCGGAGCAGGCAGGCGGGACGCCGGCGGGGCGCAGGGGTGCGGGCACCGCGCCCGCCCTGCACAGCCCGGGCTTCCGCTTCCCAGCAGGGCGCTCGGTGTGCGCGGGGCGCCGGGAACAGCTATTAAGTCGGCTTCTGCCATCTGCCAGGACAGAACGCTGGCTGCATCCTGAAAGCTCAATTTCACAAGAGCCTCACTTAGTCTGAATGTTAATCATTTTTGGATCAGCAAACATATGCCTGCCAGCCTGCTCCCCAGACAAAGCTCCGAAGCATAATCATACCGTGGACTCCAAAATGATTGGTTTTTCCCACCTGGACTGCACATTTCTCTCCCACCAGCGTCTTGAAAGAAAGTAGCTGCTGACTGCTCCAGTTTAATCTCCTGGTTAAGGGACGTCTTCAAACAGCTCCTCCCACGCGTGGCTTTTCCGCCGGGCAGCGCCCGCTCACAGCGGTGCACGCGCGCGACTCCCCCGTCCGGGGTCCCGAACCCCGAGCCTGCGGCCTGGGTGCTGGTCCTGCCCTGGGCCGTCCCCTCCCTCAGCCACCTCAGCCACACTCCCCCGGCAGCTCCCCCGCCGCCACGGAGACAGCATCATTTTTCAACACACCCGCCAGCCCTGTCTTCTTACTTTCATCTAATAATTTCAAGATAAGGAGAGAAAATCCAGTTCTTTTTTGGTGAACTTCTGTCTCCGGAGCTCGAGACGTTGTCCCGCTCTCCCCCGAACATGTCTCAGTGATAACACTCACTGCACCAGGGCCAAAATGATTTTCTGCCACTTTCAATTCTAGTTCAATAAAAGAATAAGAGCTTTGTTTCTAACCTCTGTCATTTTTAATACCATAAAATGATTTTTAAAATGTAAAATTGAGTTCCATTTCCTACTGGACTACCAATCTCATATTAGCTTTCCTTTTATCAAATTTATGAGAAAAGTCAGAAATTGCTTTTCTTTAAAAAAAAAAAAAAAAAAAGAATCAAAATTTCAGGCTCTCCTTGGCAGAATGTTCGAATTGAATTTCAGCCTTCAATAATTGCTGGCCCAGAAGTTCTCAAGAAATATAAAAGTTAGCTACTTCCTGTTAGTTATATCAGAAATAACAAACTGTCATATTATCCCTGAGGTCAGTCATCCAAAAATACCACGCTTATTCTTAGGAAACTGTCATTTGAAAAGCCCACAAGTATGTATTAGTACGTTTTCACAAGGGCAAGTCTCTAGTTGTCTCAAACCACAGTGAACCAAGTCTACGGTTTCTAAGTTGCAAAATGAAGCCAACCACGGATTTTTCTTGCAACATCATATTATGAAAATTTGAAACATGCACAAAGTTTGAAAGAATATCCACCCCTACCCACGAGCTAGCTCCACCTTCATATTCTGTTACAGTTAGTTTTCATCTATCTGCCCCCATGCCCGTGCATGTCATTTTGGGGAGGGAGCTACAAGCCATACTACACACGTAGTACACACCATCCTAAAACGCTTCCAGGCATAACAATTGGCTTCGCTATTTGCTTAGGGTATCTTGGGGGGGAGAAGGTTGTCCTTTTGAGACAGGGCCTTGCTATGCAGCCCAGGACGATCTCGAACTCACAGCGACCCTCCTGCCTCAACCTCCTCAGTGCTGGGATTACAGGCGTTCACCACCAAGTCCAGCTCTATCAATAATATTTTGAGGGCCGGGGAGATGGTTCAGTGGAATAAGCGCTTCCCTGGCAAGCGCAAGGGCCTGAGTTCAATCCCTGGTTCCGCAAAAAAAAAAAAAAAAAAAAAAATTAATCCAATAATATTTTGAAAGGCATCACTTCATTTTTTTTCTTAAGTTCTTGGCTAAGTAAACTAAGTAACTAGTTAGAAATTCTAAATGCAAATCCTTTATGAATTCTTTTCTCTCCCCCCCACCTTGGTCTGTATTTACAGTTCACGATATCTCCATTCAAGTGTGGAGCTGGTTTGTGTGCACAGCTTGATCCCTTTCTCTCTCCCGCGCTCCATCTCCCTTCCCAGCTGACAAGGATCCACCTCCCTACTTCCTTTTTTTAAAAAATGTGTTCAGGACAGGCTCCACAGGGTCTCACTACACAGAGCGGACTAGTAATGACCCTGCTCTGTTCAGCCCCAAGCCCTGGGATTACAGGCGTGTGAACTGCATCCAGTCTCAGCGCGCCCGGGGCGCGGCCAGCACAGCAGGCCCGGGATTGAACCCTGGTCCCTGCACCTGCCTAAGCAGGCACTTTAGTCCACTGAGCTATCTGGCCGGCTCCCCTATTATTCTTCATTTTGCTATTTATTTATACTTCAGGCTCCTCATATTAAAAAAAAAAAAAAAAAAAAGCGATATTGGAGCTTGTGTGTCTGTTTTATTTCCCCTCACACTGCAGCCTCAAAGTGCATCCCTTTTCCTACAGGCGACTTGAGTGTTTCCTTCTTGACAGCAGAGCAGTCCTCCGCTGTGTGTCATGCCACCTCTTCTTTCTCCACTCCTCTGTTGGTGGAAATGTCTTCTGCACCAGTTCTCCCCGCAGCAAAAAGAGCAGAGGCAGTGGCGCAAGGTCCTGATTTGCAAAGCATAAGAGCACCTCGTGGCTATAGCAGAATTCACATGCAAGAGCCGTTCATTAATATAATTTAGAGAAATTGCTAACCAGAAATCGTTAGGTTTTCTGTAATTTATAATGAGAACTTCAGCCGGTCGTGGTGGCACACACCTGTAATCCCAGCACTAAGGAGGCTGAGGCAGGAGGATCTCAGTGAGTTCCAGCCCAGCCTGGGCTACATAGCAAAGCCCTGCCCTCCCCCCCAGAAAAAAGAAAGAAAAGAGAAAGAGAACTTTAGCAGCTCGCCAATGCAAGAGGGATCTTGAGTTTGTGCTTTTACATTTAATCGTCATACATTTTCCACTGGTGACATGGTGTCCACGGAACTATTGGAGGGTGGACTGTTTATGACTGGGTCACTCCAGCTATGGACCTTTTTGGCGGTAGTGG